TTCACAATATTGTTGCAATATCAATAGAGGTACATGTTCAAAGCTATTGCAATATCTCAATATTCTCAAAGAAATGTAGCTTTGTCATGCTAACTTGTTCTCATGTACACAGAATGTTGTTATTCTGCAATCGATGAAGCCAACGCACAGCAAGCGTTAGCACATGTTAGGCTAACATTTAGCTTAGCCCATCAACCCGAGTCACTCCTGGGTTAAATATCTCAGCAGCATACAGACCTATGCTGATCTCCATAACACATAATATCCCACTGAAGCATGGCAGCAAGTAATTGGAAACACCACAGAATAAAATAATGAAAAGAATTCGCTCAGCGCAACACAACAAAGGTAGTCGCAGTGGTGGATCGGGGGTGCGGGCTAACCCACTCCTCCAGTCCACACAGAGACAGAGCTGTGCAAGCAGCCACCAAGTCAATAAACAACAGAGATCCCTTCAGACAAAACTGGCAACCACGAGAGGCAACAGACCAACTATGAGAGCAGAGAAGGAAAAAGAGACGGATATCTTCAAGGCCCGACTCCAATCAGAACCACAGGGTCCAACAGCAGAGCCAGCTAAACCCCTAACACACGAGCCAACGCGCATGCATGTATACACAACAGCAAACGCACTGGGGTCATTAGGTGCAGTAATCATCATTTAAAGCGAGTAGCTCGATCCTCGCAGCCCTTTATTTATTTTGCTTTATGGATGATAAGGAGCCAACAGGGGCCACAGGGGCCAGCGGTCATGATGAACGTCGGTTCTTTTCCAGTCCCATCAAAGAAACATCAATGAGCTTTAGTGTTCCTGCACAAATCAGCAGGTACGCTTCCTACACGCACATACCAAACATTTAATGCCGCAGCTTGGAAAATATTAGCAGACACCATTTCTTATAATCTATCAAAACCATCTTTGTTTCATTAATCTCTCCCTCGGGCTGATGAGAGAGTTGTTTTTGGCCACCATTGATCCATAACTTAACTCAACACTTTTTAGGAACGCCAGCGTCAAGCTAAATATAAAAAATGGAGCTAACGGGAAGCTGGTTTTCCCTTATTCATAAGAAAAATGTCATCCAGGCAACCTTTCCCCTCTGTTGCATTTCCTCTGCAATTCTTTAATGTCTTTTTTGACCCCAAAGAAAAGATGAGATGTGGCTTCCAAATGGAATACCTTTCATCGTGTTTGATTAAAATTTGAAGACACAGTAAGTCATTTTTATTAAAGGTCGCATGTTTTCAATTAAGCCCGACATGTTTCTTTCTTCTTTCTTCTCACTCCTCAGTTAGATCGTTAAAGATGGCACACCTATATCAATTTTGGGGTCATGGGCTGGACACCAGAGAACCGAAGAGACACGGGCGCATCAATTTAGGACTGACAAGGCACCCCAACTCTGAGATATTGGGTAGCCGTGGCTCTGACCTCTGAGGGAGTGCAAGAAGATCCTCCCCAGGGAAAAGAGAGTGAGTGCTAGGGATGGAGTGAGTGCAAACTGCACATGCCGACTGGGTGAAAAAGAGCACTCTGAAGTTCAAAAGGCTTCAACCAAACCTGAATAAACATCGTCTGATGAATGACCAGAAACTAGAGCCATGGGAGACCTTGAAATCCTCCCCCAATCGCACAACTTTTGCTACCAGTCAAACTTTCTCATGTGCACAAACACACTGAGAACTAGGGATGGGAATTTGAAAGCAAATGTATATTCGAATATTCGACCCCCAAAAAAACGGTTAACCGATTAACCGAAAAATGTGAGAAAAATAAATTACAAAAATATACATATATATATATATATATATATATATATTTATTTTTAAAAATAAATAAATACATGTTCAAATAAGTATAGAAACCAAGTCGAATTTGTAAAATGTATTGAACTGGTGATCACAGTTTGAACAGTTGGCAGCTATAGGCCTACGGCTTTCATGCTTAAAACATAACTTGGTTTTCTGATGGATTTGGACATAAACGCGAGTGACGCAGCAACAGGTTTATCTATTTGACAGTGCAGCCCAGTACCTATTTTTGTCCCAATTCCAATTTTTAAAAGTAACATTTATCTATACACTAAAACAATAACGTAAGATCTTATTACACGATAGGAGTTAAATCCCTGACTTATCTTGAGATATCCGCCATCATTTTCACAAACTATACTTAAAATGACTAAATCTATAAATGCCTGCATTACTCTGCCATAGAAAAGGGGATACAAGATGGAGCCCATTGCAGAGCTGCTGGAGTGGATTGCATTAGATGTTGCAATGATGTGCAGCACAGATGTTCATATAATATCCAACCCCTGCAGCTCTGTAGTGAATAAAACAATACATCTTTGTCAATTTGTATGGAAGGGGGAAATCAAGGAAAGATGGCTCAGAATAGAAACAGTGAGAGCTGCTTTTCAAAGAAAGAATCAATCTGGGTTAGAATTGTCTTATAATACGATAAAACTATATGATGCATGAATGTAGCTACAGAGGTTTACTGCATCAACAGCTTTGTACGAGGGAAACCAATCTCATGGCATGCTCTGTATTGTAATCCACTCAATTTAATTTTGATGACTGTTGTCCACTGCAGGATTGTAAATAGCAAACCGATATATTCCACTCATATTTCTGTGTTTACTCGGGCATCATGCTCTCATCCCTTCTGAATCTGACAAATCAGCGTGCAGCCAAACAGCTTCAGGGTCCGGGCACAGCAGGGTTAATAAGAGCCAAGCGTATGGATTTTAAAATAAAGCTGAGACGGGTGGCCACGCCAACAAAATATTGAGAAAAATAACCCCCCATGGTATCTGCTCAGAGCTGAAACAAATGCTGCAGATTAGGACCATCGGATAGAATCATTGGAGCCACCATTTATTAAAAATCGGGTCGACTCTTGACTACAGGAGAGCTTGTTTCAGACTTCCTGGACGTCTTATTTTTCAGGGCTAAACCCTATCCATTTGTTGAGCGAACAGATCCATTACACAAATGTAATAACTGGTTTGCTGTTCCTGCATTTAAGTTACAGTGTCTTGTTTTACAGCGGGTTATGGAAGCCATACAAGTCAATAAAGTCAGGACTCACTATCGAGAAATCTGATTGCACAAGATGAATATTACTTTTAGCACGGGCATCCAAATTACTAATGCACCAGGAGAGCTGAAATGCAGATCTTCTCCATGTGCACGGTGAGGCAGAGAGATCAAAGAGGGGGGTCTTTGAGAGAGAAGAGTGTGTGAGGATGTTTCTTAAACATTTCTCGTCTATCTCAGCTCCTCGGCAATAAGCCCAGTTATTTCATACTTCAGGAATGCGATTGCCTTGATGAATCAGGGAATGAAAAACACACGGCAGGACGAGGATGAAAGAATGGGTGGGCGGATGGGAAGAGAGATGATGTATTCACATTATGGACATTAACTCCATAAGTAGCTCTCATCTACTGAGAGCTGCTTCAGGGGCATGGCGCTGGTCGGGCATGGCGCTGGTCAGCCACAAATAGAAACCAGATCAGATGCAGAGAAGCAAAAATGCAAAATAGAACCATTACTGTCATCTAAAAATAAAATAAAAAAGGATCTGGGTAAATATTGGACCACAGGGCCCGGATTCTGAACATCAGACAACCCTCCGGAATCGTGGAGTGTTTGGTGTGGACAGCTTTATGTGGGAAAAGAGAGACTATAAAAACGTTGTCTCATTCACCGCTATTTCCTACCCTTGCAGTGCTTCCAACACATTCAGAAAGTCCCTTTAAAAATAGGACACGTCTGAAGGGGGCTAAAAGCACGAGGCAGTCATGACAGTACCTGGCTAGGCTCTATTCATGAGTTTTATAAACACACACCCGGAGCAGCCTCCCGTCTCCCCTGCTGCCCGCACACAGAGGACACATTCATCCCAGAGTGGGCACCATGAGGAGGCTGGAGGGGGGCGACAGACACTTCAATTTAAAGGAATTTTTCAGCCACTCTGGCTATCACTCGTGTGTTGAAGGCAGAGACACAAACACAATCTGTGCTCGTCTCAGTCTACATGTGCAGATCAGATAAAACAGAGTTAGTTGTGACATGATGAACGGTGAGTTAATGAGCCAGATCCTTGGCCGGATAAGAGCATTCCTCGCACAAACTAGGAAGGATCTTTTCCGGGCTTTTTCTTCTCACGAGGCGAGGTTATGAACTTTTAAAAGGCTTTAGACAATGTGGGGGGGCGTTTGAGTCATGTTGATTTGTCTTTTCCTGGCTCTTCTCTTTTGGGATAACACTCAGGCAGAAGCACTCTAGTCTGCACCCCTCTGCATATGAATAGCGCCCATGAAAGCATGCATCCATGGGGCGCAGAGAGGCAGAGTAGAGTTATGAATATGATAATCAGAAATGGCGTATCCAATGTGTTGTGTGAGGATTGACACTATACTCCTGGGAATACATAATGACATGGCAGGGCTGCCTTCTATGATATATGGAAAACTACCCTTCCCATGCTCCAGGATATACATGTAACTACTGGGAAACTATTGTAATATGTAAACACATAGTATTGGTACTATATATATATTTGCAAGTTCCTAGTTTAGTCCTATGAGTGAAATAAATATGGGTGAAAATACTTTCCTCCAAACTGGGGTCAATGGGGGGAGGGGAGCCCCATTCCTCCATTGACCACAAACAAAATGTTCAAACTCTTTAAACTACTACTAATAGTAAGAGTTTTTCTGAATAAATTAATGAGAAAAGCAGCTGTCACTCTTACTTTCTCTATGTGTAGAAATGTTATGTTATATTTCACACATTGTAGGCAGTATGAACTAACTTAAACCAGCCACAGCAAACCCTTAAGAAAAGCATGGGGGTCAATGTCGGGGTCCGCTACAATGGGTGTCTGTATTTCCAACGTTTTTACTTGCTTAACAGCCTCTGAATGAACAGGAGAAATATAAACGTATGCATACAGATGTCTTGAAATACTACAGCGTGTTACCAACCTTGGAGGCAGATAATACCGACGGCATACATGGTATCCACCGGTGAGTTCCTCCTGGTAATCACCGCGGGGTTCCTCCTGCCTTTCCTCCGCCTGGGCTCGCTCTCTCCGGGTAGATCCATGACCGTCCTGGTGCTCGGTGGGTCCCCGGTGCGGTTCTCCGGCTGCTACGGGAGAGAGCCGTAGGGCGAAATGGGAACGGCAAAAACGCTCCGTGCGTCACCGTGTGCGTACAGGTAAACTAACCCGTGTTACCTGCGCAGGTCCCCGGGGGAGCCAGACGGCCTGTTCACCTGGTTGTTTTGGAAACTAGCAGGAACAAGGCAGAAACATGTGCGGACCGACGCTTCGGTTTACAGGCCGGTCAGACTAACGACTTAACGAGTTCAGACTGAGAAGCCCCGCCGAAAGTTTCAAGCGAAGTTTAAAACTTCCAGGTAGCTCGCGGGACAGAGGGTTGGTGTTAATTTAGTCCGCAGTGGTACATTACAACCCGGTGTTTGTTGCTGCCGTCTGCCTGCGTCCAGAGCCGCCGACCGCTGGGACAGTTCAGTCCGCAACAAGAGGGAGTTTCGCTCCGCGGTGTTTCCAAGTTGGCTTCCTCCCACTCGCCTGTGTGATGTTTTACAACTGCGTCAAGCGAGCAGAGACAATGCATACGACTTCCTGTTAGGACTTTCAAAATAAATGTAAGAAAGTGTAACTTCTTCCACATGTTATTTTAAACTGGTAGCAACCGTACTTTCTGAAAAAATAACTTGTATTACTTTCATCATAATTAAATTGGTTAAGTTTGTTTTCACTTGTAGGCCTATGCTCTGTAAAGAGAATGTTAGCATAAGCTTTTGAGCATGTGCAATTTTCAGTCTACTTGATTTTGCACATTGGTTGTGTATATATATTGTTTCTCTAATTGTTATTAACATTGCTATTGATATGTGTTTCAATTATCTTTTGGTGTTGTATCAGTTGAGCTCTTTTTAGTGAAGCAGTATAGACACAAATCCCAAACGTAAATGTAATTTTATTTTGAAATCACAACGTACGGTATCAAGCAATGATTATAATGTTGCTTTACGTGTATTCTCTCTTTTCCTATAGTGCCGCTTCCGGTGCCCGTACCCGACCTGGATAAGGTATACAACAGTGCAACCCCCTGGTTCAATCTGTAAACTTCCATGTGCAGAACCTTGTTTAATTCATGCAAGCCTTAATTGGTATAGCATGCATATATCGTCAGTGGAGTAAATGTTTTTGGAAAATAATTCAATTTTGTTGCGATTTCCAAATAAAATTGCCCATTTTGGCTGTTATGAAAAAAGAACAATTCTCAATTCACAGTGGGTACTAACTATCTCTTTTATGCTATTAGAATCAGATGTTGTTAAAGTGAAATCATGTATCTTCTATTCTTGCTTTATAGCTACTCTATTAATCTCAGCAAAGCAGCACATTGTGTACATGTATCAGTTCAACATGTAATACATGGCACACACCCAGTGAGTCCTCATGCCCACTGTCACCTTGAGGGGACGGCCCTGCTGGCACCGTGGTAGAACAGTGTGTGGGCCCTGCTGCTGGTCCAGCTGGCACATAGATGTCTGGTAGAAACATGCAACTGGACTGAAGGCTTTAGGAATGAGCTGTACAATCGCTAGAAGAAAACATTATTACTTTCATTCGAAAATGAACTCTGCATGACAGCTCTCTGTAGAACGAAACCATCCTTCGGTCGGTAAATTCAAAGTGATGAATAGTGGAAGCTCCACATTAAAGCACTGACAAAGTGAGAGATTACCAGAGAGCCGAGAAACCCCGGGCTGACCTCCACCAAGAGGAGGGAAAACTCTACCCGTGATATATCACAACTTGGCAAGGCATCAGGGTTCCCACACTCATTAAAACACTGACATTTAAGGACTATCTTCATGGAATTTTTGGGGGGTTTTCTGCTTCCTGTAGAGTGTTATATAGGTGTATGTATGTTACTGGTCTGTAAAGCCTAAAATCCAAACGTTTCTCTACCCACACTCCTGCATGAATTGCCTAGATTGGACTCCTTTGTTTACTTCCGTAACATAATGACATCCCTATGTAACAGTTGTGCTTCTATTGGCTGCTACTAATAGATTGGCTATGGCTAGCACTCCAACACACTCTAGAAAGATGATAGGCTGGACATCGCTTAATGGTTCCCCAATCAAAACACAGCCGGCCAGCTAACCAATCAGAGCAGACTGGGCTCTGGTTTCAGACAGAGGGTGGAAAGAGGTGCTGCAGCATAGGCAGTATGAGAAAAATAAAGAGCTTTTTGAACATTAAGGCATGTAAACATGTCACAGTAGAGGCACAAAACACAAATATGAAACCTGAAAACAAGCATAATATGGCCCCCTTTAAACAAATTTCTTTTTACAAATTCCCCCCCAGAAATAAGAATGAACGCCATAAAATAGAACATTGTTGGTTTAATTTTCATTATCAGTGGTTCCAATTTTCCATCAGACTATTCATGACATATGAGACACACATTCAACTCTTACCAACAATGACACTGATTTACTGATGAATTCTATGATTTGTGACACGTTGATTACAAATAATAAAAAGAAAAAACATTTATCAAAACAATTATAATTACAAGACATTCCAGTTTTTTTGTGCTTCACTAAAAAATGAAATCATAGTCAGAAGAAACCGATCTGAGAATTGTGCAAAAACCTATAATTATCACATGTATCACACATTCTAATCACTGTAAACAACATTATAAGAGGATGTGCTCACAGCTAGCAGCTCTAATCTGTATGGCACCGGAGATCATTCAGGATGACCATTATTCATTAAGAAACCTGGTTCATCCTCGTAATTTTTTTATATACAATTAAAAAAGCTGAGCATTTTCATTGTTGTATTTTACAGACCATAAATGCCTCAAATACATTTTCTCTACAATGGAAGAAAAACCAATGCAGAAAAACACACTTGGAGATAAAAGCAGCATCAATTTCTATTTTTCCCCAAAACTTTGTATAAATTACCCTAAACAAGTCACATGACTCAACTCATGACAGTAAGATAAACAAGTCACCCTGTGTCCCAAAGCTTTAACCAACACCTCGCATTGCAAAGAAATCTCAATAGGCAAAATCATTCAAATAAAAATAAAATAATTTTTTGTCATAATATTACATTATATCATTTCATAGCCACCAGGCCTATTTATTATAACTAGTTTGTGAGAAAATAGAAATGTACAACGTATTTATTTTCTAATTTAGACCTATAGATGGCACAGGAAGACAATCAAGGATCTCAAGTCACACAACATAGGGAGACATTCACAGGAGCAGGAGACAATATGGCAACGTTTGAAGTCAAAGTGCAGAGTCACAGATGATGAATAAGGGGAGAGATGAGGTACATTTTCTCGGCCATATTTAGGAGGCACTGAGGCATCACCATTGCTAGGAACACGATGAGGGGAAAATAGATCAATCTGTCTCTGGAAGACCAAAAGGAAACAACCTGGTTTAAAAACAAACTGGAAAGAAAACACACCAAATATGTTCGTTAATGTGTTGATGACCGAACATGTCTTTGGGTCTTAACTCAGGAGGATGTGGGTCTTGGGGTTGGATGCTAACAAGCAGAGGAAGGCAGTGTGATGGAGTCTGTCTGGTAGTGTTGTTGTGATCATTACAGCTCAGAGAACGAGCCAAAGGTCAGAGCCTCTTTGGATCGGGAACAGATCAGCTGATCAGACACCTGCTGCTCAGTTTCCAGTGTAGAGATCCACAGTGCTGGAGCTCAGGCCCCGGCTCTCCTTCAAATTACGAACTCCCCGAGTCTGATAGGGAAACAGAAGGAGAAAAATCAGAGAAGATACAGGAGGAGACAACATGAAAGATAGGATATAACAATTTTAATGATATAGCAAGTTACAATAAGCAACATCTCCGCATTAAAAGCACTAAAAACGAGTAAACCCATGTTATTTATTTTACTGAATCGTGTAACATCATTATTTTTCCCAAAAATGTCAAACCTAGAGAAATCTGTCATTTGAATCAAGGTAACAGTTTTTTTTTTTTGGTTGGTGCTCTCATAAGTTGATTTTTATCCAGTTTTAAGCCACAATCTCTATTGTTTTTAGCTATATATCTGAACCGGGTGAAGGAGTCATCGGGCACCTGGATCTTATGTTATCAGAGAAAAAAGCTAAGCAAAGTAAAGGCTCTCTGCCCCCCTTTGTGTTGGTGTTTTTTTTATGGTGAAGCTTTATTTGTTGTTTTTACTGGTGTATATAACTGGCTCTGTTTGGAGAGGATACCGCTGCTGTAAGAACCTCCTGGACAAGAAACACCTAACGAATCCTAACCAGGAGAAGCTCACTGAAAATGGGGGTAAAGACAACAACTCCCATGACCCTACACAGCTTCCCCCTCCATCTTTTGTTGTGCTGATTGAGAGACCTCTAGTGGTAGAAAATGGCAACCTGTGTTTAAGAGAGTGTAAAACTGTTTCTCACCTGGAACGGGTCATCACTGGTTTTGTTCAGGTAATTCAAGGAAGCAGCGCGCTTCATGCTGTTGAACAAACAGTAAGACAATAATGTTAATACTGTATCCTGGGTTCAAGTGCAAAATAAGTATCCATGGAGCTTGAACTACTATTCAAATTGCCTCAAAACAGCATTGCTTATTACTGTCTGCTACCCATCGTTACAGAGAAATCCTGTATTCTTACTTGGTGCTGCGAGGCTCAGGCGGCCCGTTGCCCTGCAGTTTCTTCACCAGCAGCTCGCTGCTGCGCCGCAGGACGTCCCGGAGCTTCCCCAGGGAGCCGCTGCGCTGAAGAGCCCCGCTGCCGTCCTGCAGACACACACAAGCATCAGCACAACCATTCTGCACTGAAGAGACAAGAACTCACATCTGCAAATCATTATCCTTTTACTGGATGTAGGCCAGTCCTGTTGTGAATGGCTGGTGCAGCCAAACAGCGTGGGGTCTCACAAAAAGGGGTTTACACATGTCATGAATTATATTATTTAAAGAGCAATTCATTAGGTGATGAAATATGTTGCTGAACCGTCTGCATTGTTAACGATTGCAGGCAATGCTAGCATCTTTTCACTTTCTGATAACTTACATTCAACATTACCTAATTGTAATGAATCATTGAGTAAATGTTCTTCTCAAATGGTACACCATTAGAATAAACTGTAGTCACTTCAGTTTGAGCACTGAACTCATTGTGCTCCAGCAAGTGTGCTGTGTCATTTTCCTTCATTCTGGTCAATTCATCTTTTTTTAAGGAACAATGCCAAAATAGCATTGTTTAAGAGTTTTATTCGGTAATATTTGTTAATTTCTTTGTCTTTCATGATGGCAAGAATATCTTTGGGTTTGGGTTCATTGGTCAACTTGGGCTGCTGGATTTGTCACTTTATTCAGATTGTTTATGAACAAAATTAGCATTTATTTAGTCAACCAGCAGATTAAAAGTTAATGAAAATATAAAGCTCAACGTTTTTCATCCATCAATCCATTCATTTTGGAATTATAATGCTACATATTAGCTGTCCTGCATAGTGTGTGTTTATTCACTAACTGACCAGTAAACACTGTTAGTGTAACACCCTCTAGCTTTGGTGGAATGCATTCAAAACAATGTATTAACTTTGATTGTATTTTGATAATCATGATGCAATCAGGCATATCACCAGCAGAGGGCATTGTGGGTAAACCAGAGGATGTATACAGGTATTGGACATTTCTGTTCCACTGAGCAGAGACTCAACACAATGATAGGTTTCCACTGATCGCACAATACCACAGTCTTCTCGGTCCGATGCAGAGAAAAAGACAAAACTCCACAAATGAAAAACTTTTATTTGAGAATACCAACAAGTGTTGATGCAATAATCTTCACAATGCAGAATGGTAAATATAATGCAGTCCTACTTATACTAAGATAGTGCTTATAGACCTTACAATTAATGTAATTCCACTTTGGGAAACTGAAGTCACACTATATATATATATGTCGAGAATAGACAGTTCAATAAATAAGCATTCCACTAACACAACAATATTGTCATAATTATGTGATGTACATAGTCAATTCCTTTTGTTCAGTTGCATTAGAAGTAAAGGTGTACTCATTGGAAGGAATGAAGAATCAAGTAGCATACCGAAAAGCCGTATAATGAATGCACAGATCTAGAAATACAGCCTACACTTACACTTTTTAAAGAAGTCATTTTACATTCAGTTAGTTAAACATCTGAAATAACAATATGTTGATCTTGAGGAAACACTCTCACTGCACTTTTTTTTCGGTTGTCTAAAAACATGATTCACCAGAGTGACAATGTTTACTTTGCAAACGACTGTAACAAAAACAAAAGGCAACACACTCCATTAAGCTTCGTGTTCAAAATAGCCAGAGTGGACTGTACCACCAACACATACACCAATACACACTAAACTACTGTGGAATCCAAAGCTTCTAATACTGCACTGACAAATAAAAAGGCAATTCTGGGCATTTCACAGCCATTATCTTGGATTTACTAATATTAAGCAATCTCTCAGGTGGCCAGTGTCCGTGCTCGTTGGTCTCTAGCGTCGCATTAGCTTTACAACAGTCGCTAACATTGCTAATTCCCTTTGTAAATGTGAGCTACTGTGTATATATTGTTCAAGCGTAGAGCCTGCGTGAATACTCAATCAAACCAAGGACACCAGAGCGAGCGACTTGAACATGAATTGCCATGGCAACAGCTTGCTGTGATCTGACAATTTGCTTTCGACTGATGTCGGCCCTTCTGGTCTTTTTCACACTGCGGCACAAACTACTGCCTTAATATTCAGCCACAAAAGAATCAACACTTTAAAAAAATGTAAACAAAATGATACAAATTAAAAAGGAAATAAATCTATAAAAAAAACAAAATGGCAATGCTCCCTTCTCATTTCAGATGTTAACAAGAAATTAGATATTTGGATTAGCATGTGAAACTATACAGTACCATTTATTTCTAAGCTGCTTAAGCGTTTGATCTCATTATTGGGAAGAACTCAAAACTCACCAACGACTAAAAAAAAACTTTAAAAACTGAATAAAATGAGGCTAAACACAGGCAACAGGTTGGAAGCTAGCTTTGAGGTCACCTTTCATTTGTTAAGCAGATTGAGACCAAGCACAGCAGTTTTGAATTACATTGACTCTTAACCGTTACTTCTTGTCAACACCTCCTCAAATCATCTTTTGCCTTCTTCCAATAAATAACCTTCCTGCTCCCCTTATCCAGCCAAATAAATCTACTATGCAGCTAGGAAAAATTACAAATGTGTGTTGGAGAGAGGAAAAAGATGTGCGAGTGGCTTCCTCACAGGGAAGGAGATTTCACACACACACACACACACAATGATTTTTTTATGTTACAGAGAGAGAAGAAAAGCCTTTCGACACAGGGTTAGTGAGAGGGAAAGGATCGAGGGTGAAAGGAAGAGAGAGAGCCGAGATGAGAAGACCAAAACGTCCCAGCAGGGTGGGGGGGGGGCAGAGATGGCAGCCGCGAGAGGGTGGGGGGGGGGGGGGGGCTTTCTGTGTCTCTGCTGGCACCGGGAGGGGGCAGAGGAGCTGTTGCTTTGTTGGGACAGAGGAGGCCAGAGGGAACGACAACACACTTCCTTTTTGCTATTGTGTTGGGGAAGGAGAGAAGGATGGAGGAATAATCTTGATGGCTTAGGCCTGATAAGAGAGAAAGAGAGAGAAACAGACAAAAAAAAAACGCACACATTGTGAGATTAAGAGATCAGGGTCGGGCTGCCTACGCTACACACCTACACAAATCTGAGCTTCATGCCTTTTCTACACCCAACATCTATCAGTTCTACTAATCGCATGTGTCTTTACTTCCTGTAACTTTACCTTCACACCCTATTTAACAGATTTGTCATTCTTAAGTTAGTTATGTCGCTTTTCAACGTTTAGCTTTGTACATATTGTTAATAGTATTTAATGTTTGCTTTGGGGTTTCTTATCATTTTTACATTGACCTCAGTGTCCATAAAAAGCGCTGTTAGCCTAAATTGAAGAAAAGCACCCTAGAGTTTATGAGGAGAGCGGTCTGCTTTATAAAGTTAGCTAGGTCCTTCCTCTGAGAGCTTTCACCCATCCCAGCAGATGTTGAGCTTCGGGAAAAGTGGAAGGTATACATTTCAAGAGCCGTAGAAATTCAGGCCGTTTAAACTACCACAACATTGGTGTTACACTAAATGACTAGCTAATGTAGCTAACAGTTATTGAATACACTGAGGTGATTATGAAAATGATCAAAAAACACTATGTACAAAACAAATGATACAACAATAATATGTACAAAGCTAACTGTGTAAATTGAAGTAACCTAATAAGGATGAAAAAGCACTGTTGTAGAACGGTGTATTCTGCCCCAACTGTTCTGTATTAACTCCAGCTTGGGGTTTGATGACTTTTTCTAGCAAAATCAGGGATCCTATGCAAACAAGGATGTGAAAATCCATCTCTGTGAGACACTACAGCTCTCTGAGGACCTGCACTACAGGGTGGGTCAGTGATGCAGTGGGTTGGTGTTTGCAGTCACGGTGACTCAGCTGTTTCTCTCCTCTCTCTGGGTACCACTAAAGCCTTGGCACACTGCAGACAGCCAGTGACTGTGCACTGCAGACAGGACATCTGCAAGCATCAGCAGAGAGGGGCATGCTGGTTTTACACTGATCTCAAGAGGGAAATTATATTCTAGATAACATCTTTGCCCTTTATTGGAAAAAAAACAACCTAAAATTGAGTGCTTTATCTGATGAAATATTTTAAATCCTGCACTTGTTTCGACCGGTCCTCTGTTCCCTATCCTTAAAGATTAATCATCTATCCTAATAACTATGACACTACATACCCAACCCGCCCTAGGAATGAGAGTTCAAGAGGGAGAGTACAATCCACTGAGTGAGAAACAGGACATTTGATTGACAGGCTGATTGGTTGTCATGGCAAGAGTTATCAACAAGGTAGTAGGTTAGTGAGTGACACGTAGAAACAGAAAAAAGGAAAAAAGAGGAAATCTAGGAAATCATGCAAACAGACAGGCAGCACATTGAAGCATCTAGCCGAGAGCGCAAAGCAGACACAAATATACACCAAGTCATGCAGAAAGAGACACGCACATACTTCAGATATTACCGATTAACCTGAGCATCTCCTCAGTTATACCTCCACTTGTTCGACACAAACTATGTGAGCTCTATGTAGAGTTTATAGCGGTCAGGTGAAACACTCCTATAGCCTCAGTGAGTTCCAGAGTGAAGACATGTTTGGGCAAAGCTCTACAGCAGCTGAGTGATAGTTCTGACGGGCCACATCGTCTCTATCTACACACACAGACAGCACTTTACAAGCCTATTTTCTAAAACACAAGTTGTAGTGACGTATGTTTGCAGCTTTGTAAATGAATGGATTGATGGAGTTTGTTAAGCAGTCTTTTAGTTAAAAAGCTCATGTTTCGTGACACATTTTAGACAATCTTTAACAAGCAGGAGTTTTTTTTTCACTGTTTGGACTGTGTGCCTTTACATTCTACTGCTGTGGTTGTGACATGAATAATGAAATGGTAGTACACGCCATCACGTTTCACAAATAAAGGTGCACGCTTGGAAATGTGCATGCTGTTGCTGGAGTGAAGCAGTTTTGAGTAGCTGTGTGTGTTATACATATGAACATGTGTGTAGAGAAGCATCACATTCACACAAAAGCCAGCAAACTAAACCCCATCTTTCTGCTTAAACGGATGGTTTGGATTATTTTGAAATTGGGTTTTAAGCGGTTCTTATCCATAGTCAGTATTATCTACAGTCAGAATCACAATCAGACTAATTTCTTTCTGCAAAGTAAAACAGGGAAAATATTCTAAATAAAACGTACAATAAACTGGCACAAACATTTTGTTTTGCTTCCACAGCAGTATGTTGTAAATTGTGTAATTATTGTGTAATTATTTAATCATTAATATCATTTGATGCATGCTTCTTGGTTAATATTAAGCCGTCTTTGGCTGTAACAAATGCAAAGTTCCCCTCTGTGGGACGAATAAAGGCATTCTGATTATTACTGTAGGTAATACTCAGACTATGGAGAAGTATTTCAAACAACCCTATTTCAGAAAATCCAATCTATACCTTTAAGGAGAGCGGCAGATATGAGGTTAACAGACATTTATCAACCATGTGTAAACACAGTTAACACATACGGTCCATTAGTGTGCATGTTAATGTTGAGCCCAGCAGGCTGCCGTAGCTACATGCATGTTTGAACTGGGGTTGGTGCCGTGAAGGGTGTGGCTGCACTTTAGTGAGGGAGGGGGGGGGGGGGGGGGGGGGGGGCACAGGCTCAGACGAGGCATTACTGCTGGCACCCACCTGCACTGTGCTTTATGTAAGCATCACCAGAGGGCTTCTTTGAGCTGGGACGCAGCTCTATGCTAACAGTGTTTATTTATCTGCTGCAATGAATGTCATGCTTCCAGCTCTGACCTCTTAATTAAAGAGGAGAGGGGTGACAAGACCAATGGGACACGCTGTGCAGAAATAAAAGCCATGCGGCAAAAGGAAACTAACGATTGTTGAAACACAGCCAGAGTGGATGGTATAATGAGACAGTTAAACAGCAGGATAAAGAGCTGCGTATCAACTGCTCAGATTAGGGAAATGAACATCCAGAATATTGGGAAAAGCTGTCGATTTCTTTAACAGCGGAAAATATGAGACATCCTTATAGGGATTCCGAAAGGATGCATCTTTGTGAGTCTCACAAAAGCAGATAAATATTTCACGTGGTTGCCAGGGTGCCACAGAATGAGCGAGTGCCTTTTTGTTACCGCTCCACTTGTGCAGAAGCATTGCCAGCAGAACGGACGCTTATTAAAACAAGACACTGGGACTTCACTGTCAAGCAATGGACGACACAAAACATGAACATCTACTCAGATGCTGTCAAAAACAACGGGTTCGGCATGCCAAGACACTCAATCAGCTTTACAGTTTTGGATAATCAGAATGACCTCACGAGAGGAACAAGGCACGTCTACAAGGAGGCTATGGACTGGTACAGAGACGGTGAATCAAGAATTAGGAATAGGCAGCCATTTCATCTATAAAAAAAAAGGTCACAAACCTTATATTCATATACAATGAATTAGGTCACTCATTTGTAACTTGTGATGATGTGCAACACTGACATCATGAAATAGGTCATGCAGGAATGACTAATTTGTTTGGAGCGAGGGCTTCCTGAGCGGTGCATCATCTAGAGGGGCTTCTTTCCTGGTACAGGAGGCAGAAGAATCTACTTCCTGTTAAATGTTAACCTTTGCTCTCAAATCCTAATAGAAGCAGGAAGTGTTTCAATATGTTAACAGAAAAGTAAACCTACCTACTCAGCAAGTCTTTTGACTAATAAGCGTTTATTGAAATCATTTTTGATTTATTTCATTTTAACAGAATTCTTGAATTTTTTATTTTATTCATCACTATATTTATTATACAATTGTCTTTATTGTAAATTGTTATTATATTGATCACTTATGTATATATGTTTTGTATTTATTGTATTCCATTTTCTTTTATTTCATGTCGTCTAATACTAATATTATTGTTATTATTTTATTATTTACTGTATTGTCGTTCAAATATATTATATTACATTACATTTGTATTATCTTGCCATGGTCTCAAAATGTCATATTGTTTTTGTCTGGGATGTTCTGTACCAGTCCACTCTCTGTGATCTCTTGTTTCACCAGTGAGGCGTACGACTGAGTGGACTCTTTAGTGGATTTGTACTCACCCCATTCCAATCGGCGCCAATACTCACTTCCTCTCCGGTCTCAGAGCCGCTCTCATACTTAACGCTGCTCAGGCTCTCCCTGCTCCTCCGCCTGTCGCCGTCTGTATCCTTCAGGATCTCCACCACACGAGTCTGGTGGATGGGGTCGATGCCCTGATGGGAACAAAACACAAGTGCCACACACAAACAAAAACACAAACATGCAGTAATTAGAACTAGCTCTGAGGTAGACATTAGCTGGTTGGTTAGGATGAGAGTGTGGAGTTACATGGAGGTATTAAAAGGGATTTGATGTTGTCCGTCTCTTTAAATTAATCACTGTCACAGTGGCAGAGACAAAGGGAACATTTGAAATGTCTGAAAGATGGGAGTGGTGTTAGGGGTGAGAGGTGGAGGCTCTATGGGGGCCATCGGTGAGAGTCAAACCACTTACTGTGTTGCTCTGGATCCATAGCATTGTAAAGAAAGGGAAAGAAACATCGTGAGATTTGGGGGACATATTTAAGCATTGACATAAACAGGACACTGATAAGTAAACAGGTATTTTGTCTGTAAAGTCAATGTGCGCTGACCTGCTTGCGAGACCTCACAGCGCACTCCTCCAGGGTCTCAGCAGCCTCCAGCTTGCCCTGCCGGCGGTACAGGGCCCCCAGATTCCTCAGGGTGGTGTTCACTGTCGGGCTGGACAATGGGACAGGCAGAACAATATTTACCCAAAGGTGAGGAAAATCAAAATGTTCACAACAAAGCTTCCTGTCATATGACTACGGAGACTTTACCTTGAAGGAATTTGATTCATCCTAAAGACGAGTTCAAGGATTTTAAGAAGTTCTGGAAACTTTTAGTCTCTCAAGTTTCAGAGGGAAACAAATCTCTGTGTGGGGTTTCGGGTAGGAGGTGTTGTGTTATTATGTGATGTATAGGATCATTTTGTAGGTAAAGTTAAACAAATAACAGTATCATTAATTCATTATTTCGATTTTTTAAACTAAATAATTGTTAGTTTTTTGATAATTATTTTATCATTATTTAATGTTCATTATTATCTCTAGTTCTATATATTAGTTCTTTTTTGTGTCTTTTGACAAATATAATACCATGAATTGGTGTCTTTAAAAACGATGCTTGACTATATAAAAAAATATAAAAATGAATGAATATTAAATAAAAGGTAATTTAAGTAACATTTTAAGTAAAATTATTCACTTTGCAAAATTAAAAAAGGAGGAAAAATAAAAATACTGTAAAATAAAAAAACATTTCTACAATATATTAACTTCACACATTTATAAAAGAACACATTTGAACAAAAGTGAAGAGACTAATCCCAGGCCTTTATGACATGTCTTTATTTCTGACTTCGCCTTACACCACGCTGATCCCGCTCTGCCTCACCTGTTGACTTTGCAGGCCTTGTACCAGCCTCCGTACTCTCCGTAGGGAGTGTTGTCTCTGTGCTTGCCCTGGAAGTAAATAAGGGAGGAGAGGAAGAGAAAAAGAGCGTGACTGGGAGTGGAGGTTAAAACTGGATCAGCTGCATTTTCCCAGTGTTTACATATAACTACCATATGCTCGCTGGAGCTTATAGTGTGTGTGTGTGTGTAGGAAACATACTAATGAAAGCTTGTATTTCACTATTCTTTCCCATGCTACAGCACGGTTGTATTTCATGTTGCCAGCTATGATTTGACACATTCATTTAATTGAATTTGCTTTAAATATTTTCGTGGATAACATGACAACCCCCTCACCTTGCTCTCCTCTCTTTCCTCTGCATGCATCCAGATGGGCTTGTTCTCAGCTGCAGACAAACACACAGGAGAGATGGTCTACACACGGTTCAACAGGACTGGAAAACAGCTTAGCTGCTCGACCCCAGGATGTTTCACTGAATCCACCAGGAACTATTTACTATATACTTTTTGGATTGTTTCTACGCATTGTGCTACACAATATCAGAAGAGGCTCGTGACTCCTGGCATCTGCCACCATCAGTTTCAAGATGGAATTTAAACATTATAACACTGGCCCAATATTACTGACAGTGGTAAATATGACTATAATCCCTGAGATTATTTAAGAATGTTTGAATTTAATATTTTTATAAATATTATTTTTCAGATTCTTCATGAAATAAAATAAATAGGACATTATATCTCAATACAGAAGGCACTATAAATGCAAAACCAATTTTCTAGGGACACATTTGTTCTTCTATTGTGTTGATAGACTCCACCACTGCAATATAGAAGTAAACCTTTGAAATGGGTGCTGCCGTACACTCTAATCTACAATATCTCTGATGAGACCTTACCATCAACAGATCCAAACTCTTTCTCATGAGCACGAGTCAGAATCTCTTTGTACAGAATCTCAGCCTCCTTGTATTTCCCCTGTTTGAGGAAGCAGGACGCCTGAAGAAGAAAAAAAGAGAGAAAGCATATTTGAGTTTTTAGGGATTCATAATGTGCCTCCTGACAGCAGGAGCAGTGGATCTGCATATTTCCCCAAGGCACTGTGACTCATAAAAGGATGGGACTGGACCTCAGAGGCTCCCTTACTGTCTCCATACAGCCTCGCCTTCATCAGTGAGACCGGGTAGAAATATTGATACACTCGAGTATTGCCATATTATGTTCTGTGATACCGTATGGATTCACGATAACACTGTTGGTTTGGTAAAAGTTTGTTTGGGCAACCAGTGCTTTTATTTAAGTGATAGTGTTGAAAGGGGGAGACGGATGGAATGACACGCCAAGATTGGTCCCAAGACACATTTGAACTTGGGTCCTTTGCATAGGGACCAAGCCCCAGTACAAGTATGTGGATAACTTACTGTACTTACCAAAATAGTCTTTCTAAAGAATCCTGCAATCACTTTGGATTAATTACATTTGTTGTTGCAAATAGATAAATGGTTATTCCTTAGCTAATTGTGGCCCAAAGGTAGTGTGTGGGATCCTACTATTCGGATGCATAAAATGTAAATTCTTTTTTTAACTCTGTTTTTATTAGTATGGTGTGATTGATATACAACTGACAGTTTCCCTAAACTACAATTATTTTGTCTTTTAAATTGCAATATACCCACTTGCTTTCAGTAGCACAATATATATTGCATCATAACCATTAAATCATGATAAGTGCCACATTATTGCCAATACACAGCCATATTAATGAGGCTGCTGTTGTACTGAAGTGTGACATTACATAATATGAACCTTCCTTTCATAACTGTTGTTTTGAAAAAGCATGTGTTGGATAAAATAGTCTCCCTTTTAAAATTCTGGTGCATTGAATATCTGAAAAACATCATGGTTTTAAAAGATATTTCCAGTGGAAGCTTTGTAGGCAGAGAGCGGTAACAGTTTACACTCGCCCCCACAGAGACACTCTGGCTGACAGAACAGATGAGTCATTTGCTCACAATATAACTAAGCTCTGCCTGTGTTTATCTTGGTACCTTCACAGCTCAACAGGGACTGCAATTATTTTCAAAGTATAGCAAAGAAAAGAAGCACAATAAAAGCAGATGTAGTGGTTTTAACGTGTCTCTCACCAGGTTGTTCTTGGTCTTGGCCACGTTGGCATCGTCTGGCCCCAGCCTGCTCTCGTAGATCTCCAGGGCCCGGCAGTAGTAGTACTCCACCTCCTCGTACTTGCCCTGGTTCTGGCAGAGCAGAGCCAGGTTGTTCAGCTGCTTGGCCACATCTGGGTGGTCCTTCCCCAGGACCTGAGAGACATCAGGGACAAATAAGATATCAGTTTGTGCTGCTGCCTCAAGGCCTTCTCTCTGAATGTCTCCTTTATTTACAGCTTGCAGGAGACCTATTAAAAGGCTGGCTGATCAATAGAGAGGATAACGAATAAAGCTTTTTAGGGAAAGAGAAACTCAATGCGCTCTGCTAAGCGCTGTCCCTTTGCCTAATTCCTGCTCTCCATTTTCATCTATGCTCTCAATTAAACTCGTCCGTCACGGGAATGTCCCCCAGCGGAAACTTCACAGATAATTTAAGAAAATAATTTCCCTATTTATAATTGCTGGTGTTAGAGAAGCTCGATCTTACATTGTGGAAATATTACCACTTTGAATGACTTTAATACAATGGGCTAATTGTTCACTGGCAGCGAGTGCTGCGGGTGGATCTCCTGGTGATCCAGGGATGTGGCCTACCTTCTCTCTGATCTCCAGAGCCCTCTTGCACAGCGGCTCGGCCTCCTTGTACTTCCCCCTCTTTCCGTACAGCACAGCCAAGTTGTTCAGCGTCGCAGCAACCTGGATTTATAAGAAAGAGAAGAAATATATAAATGAGGCTAATTCCTTTATCTGTTTTGTTTTTGTACTGGGATGTTAGCCACCTGGATTACACAGGATGGTAGTAATAATCCTTTGGGTTTAATTATTCTGTATCCAGGATCAGACTGAGTGACAGCAGTAATAACAATATGAAGCAAACAATGTGCTGTAATAGCTTCCTTTATGCCACACAATGCAATTTGTTGCCATAGTGTAAATCGATTCATACAAATCTGTTCCCAGAGGCTATGAAAAAAGCACAATTGAATGTGTAATGTCTCACTGCAAGCTCATTGTAGTTTGGTTTATGCTGGATGTAAGAGCAGCCATTCAGCAGCTGTGGTTGATTCCTTAAAAGCCTGCAGGCACAGGTTTAAAATCCATACTGTGATGGTGGAAAAAACTGGCGGCACAGAACAAAAAGTACAGTAGACTGTGAGGTAATTGCCTCTCAGTCTACAGAGTCATGTGCAATAATAAACCACCACCAGATAACTAATCTGATCTATGAATATGTCCCCATGGAGATATGGTTGCTATGAAGATGGTGGAGTCTTACAGCGGGGTGATCTTTGCCCAGGGTTTTCTCACGGATGGACAGGGCATCGTTGAGCAGATGGGCGGCCTCTTTGTATTTGTTCTGATCCCTGAATGAGAAAGAACGGTAAAACATGATGAGTGTTTCTTGTTGTTTTTGCAGTCAAATAGGAAGAATAACTAGCAAAAGCTCATAATTGAAGGCATTTCCGACCTGTAGACCAGGGCCAGGATGTTGAGCATGGTGGCCACGTCGGGGTGGTCGTGTCCAGAGGTCTTCTCCAGGTCCTCCAGAGCCTGCTTGCAGAGAGGGACAGCCACCTCGTAGCGGCCCTGGGAGGCGTACTGGATCACCAGGTTGTGCAGGGTCCTCAGGCGGGCAGGGATCTCGTAGCCCCCCTGCTGAGCCGCTGCCACCGCCGCACTGTTGTGTTGGTGCTGACCTGTGAGGGGGGGGGGGGCACAGGGCAACGGTCAGTTTGGACGTCAAAGAGAGAGAAACTCAGACCTGATTAAAACTCCATTTGCAAATCTGTGTAATAATTAGATTATGGGTTATAATTTTTTTTTTAAATGTAATTGAACATGTCCCGTCACCAAGTGTGATTACTTTGAGACCACAAAATCCTTATTGCCTAAACATTTTCTTCACAATATATAAATACTTTTTGATTAACATGTTTTTTAGTTCTTTACTCTGAATAACTTTCTTAGAAGAATTGTCATATGATGCAGAAGAGATGGATCCTGTTCTCTTACTTCCTTGCCCGTGCTCCTCCTCGTCGTTGGGGAAGAGGTCATCCAGGGAGTCCTTTGGTGTTTCTCGGTCCTTCTCCTCCTGCTGAGAGGAGAAAACAAACCTGTTAGTCATGTTAACTGACAGCAACCATCTTGCGGCAGTCTTTAAATATTTAAGACGATATGGCTATCAAGATAACTATATCTCATATTCAGAAAAGTATGCCATTGGTGGTAATTTAGACCAATACATTCAATATTAACATTTAAAGTATACATTGTTTCATGAGCTTCATGTTGGATACAGTTGTCACTTTTACACACAATTGACCTTTTGACATCTGTATACGGTGCTTTATTTTAAATCCTAGAACTATGTCGACCTTGACATATATATATCTGCTCGGTCTATCAATTTTCCTGTGTTTCCCGTCATTTGAGAAAAAGACCAGAAACCCTAAGTGAGAAATATGATATATTTTGGTTTCATGATGACACCCCTTAGTTTATCATTAGTTTGACATTAGGTAACTGCCTCTGTAGATTGATATCTTACTGTGTGGAGATATTTTCTTATTCTGATCCAGCTATTCAAACCTCACATACACACTGGTGTGTGTTCTATCAAATGACTAAATGAGATTTCAGTTGGGCTTTAACACAGAAGCCATATGAGAAAAGCTGATTCCAGGAGGAATTCAGGTTATTGGCAGGATGGCTTCCTGCAATAAGCAGCTAGAGGACACAGGAAAACACAGCCTCCTTCTGTGACGAACAATAAGGTCAGAATATGCAGCAATTTCTCTGAACTGCTGGATCAATAAGGACCAGACCAGAAAGGCTCATTCCTGGAAGCTGTGATCTTCTTCCTGTATCAGATATAATCGACTGTTTGCTGCCCCTTGGAGTCATTTAGGCTAATGCATACTAAATATTCCAAGTAGGATCATGCACTGGATGTGTAAATTGTTTTCTGACTGTTTCTGTCCCATTCTGCTTATAATAAACAACAAGTCAATTAACTGCATAGGCCGAGAAATAAAACAACATTCTATTCCGTCAATTGAACTCGGTGCTTTTCATGCTAAAGAGGAATAATGTATTTGAAAGGATCCTGCACATAAAACATGGTAGAAATAAAATAAATCAAACTATTTCAACCCAAGTAACCTAATAATACAGCTTTCATGCATCGTTAACAACATGTCTTACAGTGGGCGAGACGTCCTCGTCGTACTTCTTGAGCTGGTTCATGAACTCCAGGTGCTTCTTCTCCTCCTCCAGCTGGGCCACGCTCTGCTCGCTCTTCTGCAGCTTCTGCTGGGTGTTGGCCAGCTCGTCGCGCAGCCACTGGTTCTCCTGGCAGAGCCTCCTCACCTGCGCACGCAGCTTCTGCTTCTCCGACTCCACCGCGTTCAGGTGGTTGGACAGGGCCATCATCACCTGCGATAGAGACAGCATTCAGGAACTGTGAGCATTTAACGGAGACAAAATGTCGCAGCGGCAACGCAGGAGAGGACAAACTGGGTCTGAATGAATCATGATCACCACACAAACTCAGTTTAGAATGAGGAAGCAGAAACTCACAACCAAAAGACACATGACTCGGTGGATTAACACCAATTTACTACATTCTGTTCAATCCAGGCTGAAGACTTGTTCAGTTTTTTTGCTGCCCTTTATTAAATCAAATAATTATTCAAATCTTACACAGCACTGTTACTTTTATTATAAGGTGTAATGTGTTTTATTCTGCTTTAGCTCGTTGTTATTTCTGTTCTCTTGGCTCTTGAATGACTGTAAAGGTACTTACATGTCATTTTATGCGTTTACTTTAAAGTGGACCTATCATGCTATATTTGAAAAATATATTGTAGGGCCATACCTATACATAACATGTCTGTGAAGTTTTTTTTCTCAAAATACCAAACAGTTCACCCATTGTAGCCATGCCTCATACTGCTCAAACCCCTCTTTTGCAGCCCTGTTAGAGAAACGCGGATCTTGGGTCCTTAGCTTGAAAAAAAGAAAGAAGAGGAGGCGGAGCTAATGCCTGATCAGAATTATACCGGAGATAAAGTTAAATTCGGTTGTGATAAAACGCCATCCTGTTTAAACCACGTCAAGGATTATTTCTGAAACAGTATGGAGCTCAAATGCTTTTTCTCTTGCAGGTTTATCACAAGGTGAGTTCTTTTTTTATTTCCTGCTTTTTAAAAAACATGTGCTCTCCAGTACAGGTTAGCTCTGAGTGTTAGCGAGGCTTGCTAATGTAAACAAAGACGAGATTACGTCCAAAACACGCCAGGCATTGTTTCTGATAGCAACTTGCTGTGGGTCCGCCGACGTCACCACGGATGGACACGTCAGTTCGGATGGAAATCTGTATCCGCTCGTTGTACACCCGTTTTTAAAAGATTTGGGTATGGAGGAAAAGAGAGAGGGTTTTATTTTCTGACGCTGCGTGAGTTCCCCGACGCACCGGGGACACCTATTTATGTATAAAAGACATCACAAAGTGCATTTTGCATGATAGGTCCCCTTTAAACTACGTTGTAAAGCTATTAGTGTTTTCGTAAAGCCTAGTTGTTGAACTGTGCTATAAAAAAATGCCTTTACTTTTCTTACACTCTGAACCATTCTCTCTTTGTCTGCTGTATTGTAACCCACCTGATTATCTCTTAAGCTCATATTATTCTGTCGACCAAACAATATCTCACCTGCGCTTCTCCCAGGCCCAGCTCGATCATCTCCACAGACTTGCGGAGCAGGTTGGACTTCTCGTGCACCAGGTTGGCCTCTTCGTCCTTCTTTAGGCACTTGATGGTCTCCAGGAGGCTGTGGAGGATGGAGTTGTGCTCGTTCTTCAGGGCCTCCAGACCCTGGATCACCAGCTTGGTGTTGGAGATGATCTCTTCCTGAGTAAGCTTCTCCAGCTTCTCTTCTCTTGGATACACCATGATGGACATATTCTATGTAAGATTAGGGAAACCTGAGAACAAAGGAGTGGAAAACGACTGTTACAACAGGCTCGCTCGCTGGACACTGTGGGAACATTTGAACGGCAGCAGCTGCCACGTTAAAAGGACATGTTTGAAACGGTCTTCTGAAGATGCAGCTGTGCTTGTTTAACACTTTCATTCACAACAAAGGACACAAGAGCTCGGCTAACATGTCTTATTCGTTTTCCTCTATTTAATTCAAAGTATCTTCAATTCCAAATGATCTTCACCACTATAAACCATCTGAAGCATTCTCTGCAGGGGTGAACCGACGGAATCCACTCTCCACTCTCTGTTTAAAGATATCAAAGTCTGAGTGTGTAAAGCCTCGCCCTGATGAAACAAGTCATTTTTTTGCTCCGCTAGCATGATCCACTAGCAACGAGACAACCATAAAAAGGTAATGAACTCACGGTTTATCACTAGAGGGAGAGGAGAGATTCAAATTTCATGAGTGGGTAGGTCGGTCATCATTTTTTTAATTAAAAAACCCCAGAATGAATGCAATACGATAAGGAGGGTTGTTATAAAACACATAAGTTATACTCTGACCAAAGGAAAAATGGTTTAATGAATGTACACATACAGAGCATGTGTGTAATATCTGCTGTACGTGTTAGGGATTGCCGAAAATATATTACTCTTTTGGACAGACTGTTGGCACCTATAATAATTGAATGGGGCTGCTCCATTTGGAAAATAAATCACTTATTTTGACAGAAAATGCAATTGCGATAAGGTTCGCCATATTGCACGGATTGATAATTATTTATACCTTAGCCAAAGTATAAATATATTTAAGTCAGTGTGAGTTTCTAAGAGGATCTGAGCCAAACAAGGATTTTTCATTGAGTCTGTGGAATATCTTTTGTAGATTGGGACTTTTATGCAGGACCACAATACCTCATTCATAATGATATTATTACACAAATCGCCAAATATTGCACGAATATTTTTGCCATTTCGATACATTTTGGAATAACTGTGCAGCCCTAGTTGTGAGCATGGCCACAGCTTGCAGAGTGACAGAGGGCACACAGATGCTGCAGTGCTCCTGGTGCCAGCTCTTTATCCAAACAGAGGCCTAGCCGGCTGCATGACTGGCTGGAGAGTCAAGGAGAGGATGACATGACAAAAGCCTCAGAAATACATCTCAGCAGCTGGTCAAGTTGCAGAAAACTCCAGTGTCAATAACACAGTGTGCTCTGTAGAAATGCCAGACCTTTGGGTGAGTGCATGGAACATGTGCCATTTTCCCCAAACAGACTGAAGATAGCCTGTGACTCACAGAGCCACGTCCCTGGTGGATACATCAGGGTAATGTCGCTGCCAAAGGCGGCCCTACCCTTCCCACTGGGCTCCAGGCAAAGTAAAGCTAGTGCGTTCAGTATTTCTGCAGCAGGGAGAATAAGAGGTTATGGAAGAGGGGCTTGCCGTGCTAAACACCAGCTGAGAGCCGTCTGCTAAGAGAAGAAATGAACTACACCATTAGAGAGCCGCTCCCTGCTCTGCTACTTGCATTTCCGCAATTGTCTATCAAAAGCAGTGCATAAAAAAAACAACATAAGCCTAACTTGAGCATAACGACTACAACAAATAGCTATTTGCTCTCGGCGCCGTGCTAGGTGGCTGCAGCTCCCTGTTTAAACAATTTCCCAAATTGGGATCAATAAAGTACCATCTTATCTTATCTTATCTTATTTTCTTAGGAATGTGACAACAAAAAATGTAATAGCAGCCAAGTTTAATCCTGTGGTTGAAAGCTGGAATTAACGTAGCTACAAAAGATGTGAAATGATTTTCTTAATATTCATTGACAGCTGGGTTAAGAATGAATATTATCCTAACATAATTAGAAATGGTTGTTGGAATTGCAATTATTTTCATTATATTCAATTCATCAGATTATTATGAATACAATTAATTGATTAACGTTTGCCTAAAAAGCTTTGCAAGATCAACCGTCCAATTAATAATAGCAGCGTTAAATGGCTGGCCACTTTAAGTTGTCAGCTTTCTGACTTCTTACAAAAGAAAAAAGGTGTTTGGGTGCATTTTGAGTGGACCCTTGGCACATTTACAGCTGACACAAGCATTGGCAGAAACAAACACAACTGTGTGTGTTGCTAGTATCCAGTCATTAAAGAGGATGTTGTGCACGTTGCATCATGTATTAACAGCAGGGCAGTCAGGGGAGTGTCATTTATGATGCTAATACGTGTAATGATGGACACTGCACGAGCACGCTGGGGCAGCTACTAAAGTTAACTAATGACCAACTGGATGTCAGATAGATATTCTGACATCCCCGCCCGTAGATATTAACAGGATGACACTGGAGCCTGTGTACGACCAGCTGGAGGATCCGGAGAGGAAGAAGAGGGGCAGCGATCGATAGTAAAAGGTATCAGGTACCCTACCAGTACGAGTGAATGGGAGGATACAGCTAAGATGTGAAAGGATATTGTTTTTATAACTCCAACTTACTTCGACTAAAAGCTTTACTTTTCTTTGGTTCATGACTCCCCTTACTTAAATCTAATGAAGAATTAAAAAAATGCATATTGTTAGAAGAAATAGCCAATGTTTTCGTACACAAAGAAACATTCCTGAAGCCTCAGGGTAGTGATGGAAAAAGTGAAGGGTGGAGTAAGCTTGATGCAAATCTGCTTGCATCTCGTTTAAGATGTTAAAAGCTTGAGCATTGCTGATGGATTCATACAGATCACATTCTACACGGTACCCAGAGGTGACTTTGTGCATGTCTCATCTGCAATTTACTATTTCACTGCACAATATATACGATGATCTCTTTACAGGAGCTACTGGAGGAGCAGTAAAAAGCTAGTTCACAGAGACAGCCAACCTCTTCAAAGAAGCGTTTCCCCCATCAAATGACCCCATTTTAAATCAAACAACATATAAAAGATTAATAGTAACATGCACTCGTTCTGAGCCACTTCCAGAGATTACAGATCATCACATTTTTACCTACATGGATGTCTAGAAGAAGTGTGATCTCATTGTTGCTCTGCATTTAAAAAAACCCATAAAATATCAAAATCAAATATAGATATTTCAAAAGGAAACTGTTATGGTAAGAATTCCTTGTAAAAACCCTGTAATGGTCATTGTAAGTTCATGTCAAGTACACCAAAAACAGAACTACCAGAGGGAGGGCTTACAATCAGTGAAATAGTCAGCAGACAAGAAGTAACACGTTGGGGGAGAACTTGCACGAAAGAAAATCCGACCACAGGCAGCACATAACTGAGAGCCATTTTGTGCTGTCAATACATAAGTCAGTAGTTTACATAACAGTCTATCACATGCTTTAAACAAATTAAGCTGACTCTAATTTGCATTTGCAAAGATACGACTGTTGTATAGAAGTTTGAACATTTAGACTCTTGCTCTCTATGATCGCTATGCTACAAAAAGCCCAAAATAAAAGGATTATAAAACCCAGGTTTTGCCTACAGTACTTTTCTCCTTGGAAGGGTTTGGTGCCTAAGCTCTTCCCTTCCATGAACATGATTTGAAATGGTCTCTTTGAAAGATCAAGCATGTTCCTGGATCAGACAGCTTTTTACCCAGTACAGTCACTCAGAGCCTCAGCAGTTAAACGCCTGTTTGGATGAAAGGCCTGACTAGCTGAGAGCATGAAGTAGCTCACAAAGAGAAGAAGCGCTTTCATGTCAGTCAGTGCAAAAACAAGCAGCTTCGCCTTCGTATCATTCACCGACACCTGTATCATCGACTGTTGCTTTCCTCAGACTGCTGGAGTTAATATGTCCCACGTCTTTAAAGAGTTGTGATGAAGTCCAACAGGCTGGTTTTTTTAAAGCTGCGCTTGAATTCATCTTTAACATTGACTTTGTTGGTGTTCCATACAAAACATGGGCACATTAAACTAATGACAGCATCACAAGATAATAATAAATGTACCAGCTATAACTAGTTAGAATACGACTACTCAATACTAAAATACACTCACCATGTACACATCACACTTATAAACTACAGCTCAGAATCATGTCATTTGGCCTTTTATCCAATAGACCTCATGATAGGGTACAGGAGTTATCAGGATCAAGTGTTAGTCATGTTCAGCAGCAGCCAGTTAAGTAGCCATTAAGAAGACATTTTCACTTCTGTAAACACAGGCACACCAGAGGAAAAGCTTTTTAAATAAATCCCTCATTCAGAGCCTATCATTATATCAGAAGCCGGTGAAGATGAGACCTGGTGCATTAAGAGATGTTTGATTATACAACAGATAGGATCAGTTCAGTAAAACGACCTATTGTAATCAAAGTATAGTCTTTTTTTAGGATGAAAAACAATGCAAAAAGGGAATATTACAAAGAATCTAGATATCCATTACAAAACCCCCTAAATGCCTACTAAAGGTTTAAGCCATATATGAATAATGCCGTCATTGTTTGGCTACAGCTTGCTGGACCAGGAAACTAACCTCAGTTTCAGTGGCAGATCAGAGTCTCATACTTTGGCACGGTGAGAAGCTGATGAAATAATGACTCCTCCTCCAGAAATAGCGCTAAACGCTGGCCAAGTGCATTATAAAATGACTGTGCAAATCCACAGCGATCCTCCTTCAAATGAAAAAGGAAACCTTCAGGGTGCCAGAGGCAGATGGAAATGAGAGAGGACAGGGATGAGAGAGATGAGCGCCGATGGTGGGGAGAGGAGGACGGAGCTGCTTGCGGGATGACGATGACCTTCCCACTGCTCCGTCAGAATTAAAAACAACAACATGAGCTCAGGGCGCACATCGAGAGACGGCCCCGCCCACAGCTGGAGGAGAGCAGAGGAGGGTGGAGATGCAGGTCTGATGGGGGAGGGACACATCCTGATCTAGACTCTGCTCCTTTGCACTCATCAGACACAAAGGGATGAATCTGATGAGACTCAAAAGGGTGGGCTCTATGACACTATTTACATGTTACCATGTAAGCCACTGCAAGGCCAACACCTACTGTCTCATTGTACTACAAAAAGCACACATCAATACATTCACACCTTAGGACCAACCAATACAGTTTCTGATAAGACAACTTTCACTTATAATCCAATCATTTCACTTTTACGATCCAGCTCATAAGTGATGGGAACATTTTTAAGCCACCAGACAAAGGACTATTATATTTTAGAACATTTTCAAATGTATAAACCTCTTAAGGGACTTTAAAGGCTTATTGACACAGCAGTGATTTAAGGACTATCTGGTTTCTGATAACATGATTATACTAGACTCAACTCATATTAGTCCCTAAATATCTGGCAATAGACCACCGTTGGTCTTATGAGGAAAATCAATCCAGAGTAGTGTTAATGCAGTCTCAGATGTTAACCAGACCTAAAGGCACCTCCACTGAAGCAATGTTTCTTATTCAACTAGTTAACCAACAATAAATCATAGTCTCATATGAAGCAAAGAATCTTCAAACACCACAATAGCTAAATGTATTTTGTTATAAAAAAACAAACACATTGTTACAATAACAACTGAATAGACATGTCTTACTCTGACATTGTTTTGATGAGGTGGATCAGGAACCGAGTTGTCATATGACTCAACCTTGCAGAAGGATCAAAGGTCATATCATATTGCAGCAGGAGTCATTGCACATCCAGCCCAGAAACCAATATCAAATACCAGAGAGGGTTGCACAGAGTTATGAAAGATAGTGCTGTGTTTATAGAGAGAACTTTGCCATCTCTCTCTCGTGTTTGTCCATCTAGAGCTCCACTCTTCATTAGCCTCCATCTCCAAGGAGGCCTCAAGCCTTACATGATCTCCCTTTAGAAAACACCATCAAGCTCCCTCAGGGCCTCGTTCGCCGAATCCTTCCCTACCACTGCATTACAGTCATTCAAATCGATTGTGCTTTTGGAGAGGATAAACTGAATGACCTGTAATTGCGTATAATTGTGTACTTTATACTGCCAAGTATAAATCTTCCTGACTTAAGGGCATGATGAAACCACTAAATACTACTTTTTTCTTCTTTAAAATCTAGTGGATTTGGTTTAAAGCAAAGTACATTTAAAATGTTTATACAACCGTATCGAGAAAGCTGAGCTGGAAATACTTCATGAGCAAATACAAAACATAGCACAGGCTGCAGAAACAGGCCGTTTGAGAGAGGGTGTGGTGCTTGATGGAATTAAAATGATCAAATACTAGGGTAGAAAAGGGGAAAAAATACAGACTATGGAGAGTGCATCAACAAGCCAGTGGACAATGTCTGTGCCATCTCCCTTGATAAACATTTTCTGTCTATTTGATGAAGTTTGACACCACCGGATCACTTCATCTTGCTCTGTTTACTGCACAAACAGCAGTCCAACAACACTGTCTGTATGGATCACTTCCAGACACAAAGCAGAGCCAGCCATCAGGGAGGGTGTGGCGGGGTCTGGGACAGCCAGGAGGGAAGTACCACTGTCACTGCCCAGTCATCAATCACTCTACTGAGACCAGCTGCGAGAGGGCTGCTCCCCACTAATGGTGGTCTGAACACTGCCTGCATGGATTTTGCTAACGTTACTGATGCAGAAAAACTGCCAGGCAGACCACCTGACATGGGAGTATTGTTGCAGTGGAACCTGTGCTTATAACACTCACGCAGATGTACAATGGTGTCGCCCTGATCAAACACAAAGCTCGACTTTTGATATAATGACGTGGTAGCTACATGTTAATGACTTTGCACAACCCTAACGAAAATTGAACACAAACAGAGTCTTCTGAACATTTCCAAGTTAATCCCAAACTAAATTAAATGGTCTATCATTTAACTCCAGCGGTGATCATAATTAAATTCACATTTTCATTTTGTTTTGACTTTTGTAGTGCAAAACGGGGTTTATTATTCTATATCCATCTACAGGATTTAGTGTTAGCAATATGGGCATATGTTGCCTGTTATATAAACACGGGTAGATTAATTATAATGATATTGTAAATGCTCATTGAATAAGCTACACCACAGTGAAGCTTGCTTTTTGATCTGTTAAGCGCTCTGCTTAGCGACTTTGATAGCTAGCTCCGGCTAACCAGCTAGCATCACCACTCCCTAGCTGCTCCTGCTGTTCAAACCACCAGCTTAATCATTTATATACACGGTATTTCACAATTATATCGCTTAAATACACGGTCACATAGAAGCTTCACACATTTATAATATTAATTAGTGAAAGTACATCTATTACTTACCAAGAGCTAGGACTGACGGCTAGCTCAGCCCCTTTAAATCCAAAATGTCTCCGGCACCGCAAGATTCTCCCAGAAGCCCCTGCGGCTGATTTAATTAAGGTGACGTCATGTTTGTTTTCGATCCACAGGGTTGGGTCAGACAGTCATGGATGTATATTCAGATATGAGTCAAATAACAGAGTCAGTAAAATAATACAAATGACATGGCCATTTATCTGTTAAAATAATTAGTACCGTTAACTATTGGATTACCAGAAATCTAATCTGAATACTTTGGAATACATTTTAATTAGGCCTATTTCATATTCAGACATTGCAACTTAAAATAAAATAAAGGGTTTAACCACAAACATTTGAGATCTGGAAGTATTATTTTTTCTCTTTAAACATCTCAAATATATTAGGAAATGCAGTTGATCAAATTACTCTCCCAAAACCTACTGGCATCACTACAGGTGGGCTATAATATAACATGTTTTTAGTTGAAAGTGCAGACTTAAATTACTTTATTTGTAATGTTTTATCTCACTTTTAAAGACATACGACCACACTATAAAGTCATAACCAGTCTACAGTCATAGCCCTTTATATATACAGCCCATATCATAGCCATATAGTGTCTATGAATAGCCCATAAATTCCACCACAGAAAGAATACCAAGAGTATTTAGTGACATCTGGTGGCTAACCTGTGGCCAACACTCACATAAGAAAGTAATTCTACCACTTTAATATCATTACCATCTTCCAAATGATTCTACAAACAATTAACCCTCCTAAGGGAAAATATAACAGACATCCCTTTTACCCAGGTAAACATAGTTCCTCTAGTATTACACGTGTAGCCTACATGAAACACACAATGACACACCATGTACATTGTTTTGAAAAAACTAAACTTAATATGATAATTAACTCAGACAGTTATTTTAAATAGAAGCTGTCTCTCTAAATTAACAGAGGACAGTTCATTATTGTGTCAACTATAGCCACCTTCTGACAGCACCCAATACCTGTTGATAATATGAACCTGTATTATAAAGAAAGCTAATTGTGAATTTTACTTAGTTGAATTTAAAAATAAACAAATTTAATAATTAATGTACAAACGTAATGTTATATTGTACATAAAAAGGCTATGTTACCCAGAGGCGACATTGAAACCAGCTGATTTATCTAATGTTAATGTACTCTATGTTTTTATTATTATACTTTTTCGTCTTTTGTTTTCTTAGTTATGTTCTCTGTATTTTATATGTTTGTGTTATGTGTTATGTGTAACGTTGCTGCCTTCTTGGCCAGGTCAGCATTGTAAATGAGATTTTATCTCAATGCTTTTTTATCTGGTTAAATAAAGGTTAAATACAATTTAAAAAAAATACAATTATAAATACAAATATTTATGATGTATGCTCTTAATATAGTAAAGTTAATTTTTGACTTGTACATTATTTAGTACAAGGATAAGGAGGATAAAAAGAAGAAAATACACCCCTGATTGGGAGTCGGAGTACACGTCATCAGTGCGCGACGCAGCGTGTAGGACTGTGAAGGACGCCGACTAGAAGCTTGTGATGAAATCAGTCTAATATAAAGGTTGGTTTATTATTACTCTCAAACTGTATTCTATTGCAAGTTGACATGGGATAAGGGGCACATTTCGGTGTGGTTTAATACAACAGAAATTCAAAGGAAGGTGTATTTATGGTGGTTAACCTCACGCTAAGCGAGCGATTGCTAATGTTTATTTGGTAAGGTTACTGCAAAGTAACTGTGACAGTTTATCCACAATTGAGCCATTTAAAATATAGAAGGTAATTAGTTCAGCATTAATGGGTTAAAAACAGGAGTACTTTGAAGCTAATGTTGCACGCCAGTTAGTGGGACAAACAGATGAACGGAAGCGACAAACTACCAGCTGATAAACCTGCCCTCTGCTCCACAGATCTGTCAGACGCTGTTATGATGGCGCTGTCGTGTCTAACCCGAGCCCTGCGGTCGCTGACTCTCTCCCAGCCTGCCCTGCTTTCCTCGCAGGTAAACATCCCCTGCCTGTTCTTCATACCAGAGATCTGATCCCCCATCACAACCACCAGACAATCAATATCGCTTTCTACTGTTTACAGGGAGTTGCACAGACAAAGCTGGCACCTCATGTGACTGGTGTAGTCCTAAACCAGTGCAGAGGCTTCCTCACCACAGCCTCTCTGAAGCAGAACAGGACACAATGGAAGCTGAGGGAGAAGTATACAATCAAACCTATTGGCATGAAGAAGACCGGAGGCAGAGATTACACAGGTAGAGACTGAGGAGGACAAGGTTAAAGTTGGGAGCCATTGTGCAGTTCTGTATTTGCCCTATATTGTGTTTTCACTGATAGATTACGAGTTGTAAACAGAGATAAAAACTGTATTTTAGTGTCTAGTCAAGGTCTAAATGGGATAAGCGCAGGAGGTAAAAAAGAAACTGCCTTTTTCCTGTTTTTACAAATAGAAGGAAGTCTTACAATTTGGCACAGAGTTTAAATCCATTTTCAAACTGTATCTGTAAGTCTAGTCCAGGTCTGATTAGACTAAGTAAAGTTTTTGTAAATGTGTAATAGGTTATCTACAGAGGTAAAAATGTAATTGTCCTTAAGGATAAGAAAATATTCCCATTTCCTGAAAAGGGTTCAAATGAACCAAACGAGCTATTTCCAAATGTAACTCTGGGTCTCAAGACATTTTGATACAGTATTTTAATTATTGAACGTTTTCGGAAATTACAAGCCAAATGTCTAGTCTAGTAAACAAGTAAGAAATTAGCGGAATAACTGATAATGAATAGTTGTGAAAAAGGGTGTAGTTGCAGGCAGTGCCGCCCCTCCATATTCGCAGAACACGTGCAGTGCATAGGGCCTCTATTATTTAGTGCATTTTCAAGATCTTGCGTAGGGCCCCAATTTGGCCAAGGGCAGCACTTGTTGCAGGCCTGTTTGAAATGAGCACCAGTTTAACTGTTTTACTTTGAGAAGCCTGATAGTAACATCCTCCTCCCGTTTTATACTTAAGTCATCAATCAGAAGTCATGTTCAACCTGGGGTAAGGGCTGACATCATTCAGTGATATATTTGCTTTGACAACAGCTGTAGGGCATGTTCTGACTCGAGCCAGGTGTGAAGAGTTACTCACCTTTTTCTTTCCGTGTTACAGGAAAGGTACGAACACATGGCATTGGTGGAGGCCATAAACAGAAGTACCGGATGATAGACTTCCAGCGGCTGCGCTATGAACCAAACAAAGTGGACCAGCCCTTTGACGAGAAGGTGGTTGAAGTGCGGTACGACCCATGCAGGTGAGATCAGCTCTCACCTCACAGGACTTTTGATTCTAAAGACAGAGTTGTATCCTCATGATCTGTTCCTCAGGTCTGCTAACATCGCCATGGTAGCTGGAGGCAGCCGCCAAAGATGGATCATCGCCACAGAGAACATGCAGCCTGGAGACGTCATTAAAACGTCTGCAGTTATCGGACGCATGGCAGGTAAAAAGATCGTCTAACCTTGCCTCAAGTCCTGTATTTCACACAACATTGTACTAAATATTTGTACTTTGCAGTCTCAGCCAATGAGGGCGATGCGTACCCGCTGGGGGCCCTTCCTGTGGGGTCGCTGGTGAACAACCTGGAGATACAACCAGGGAAAGGATCCGAGTACATTCGTGCAGCAGGTAGTTACTGTTTAGGCTCTTGCTTATGATTCTGAACAGTTCAACACTTTTTTCAATTCATTTATCTTCAAAATGTCATAAGGTTGTGAAGTATTCATCAATTCAGTTAAGGCCAAATACTCTTCAGTCATGGACAATCAAACTCAATTTAACACAACATATTTCATGTGATATATCAATAGTGTGTCTACTTTATCTCCATAAAAGATAATTACAAAATAAAATCAAAGAATGATCCATACAGCTTCTAGAGAAAGACAACTTTATAGTAAATAAAAGCTGAAAGATATTGATTTATTGGCTTTAATTTGAGAAAAATCCCTTTCTAAATACACACCCTACAGACCTAATACAATCATTTCATGGTAATATAAAATATGTGGAGTTGTAAGAATATCAAAGTGTTTTTGCGGTTTATTGATACATTGATTCATTTAATGCAATCTGAGTGCCTCGGTCGTTTGTAACAAGGTTATAGTTGCTGTAAAACGTGGTGACTCATGATATCTAACCTGGATGTATTTTTGCTTTTCAGGCACAAGTGGCCTTTTGCTCCGTAAAGTGAATGGAACTGCGATCATTCAGCTCCCTTCGAAGCAGCAGGTCCAGGTGAGGTATCCATATTTAAAATAGTCCCCTGTTTTCAAACTAAGATCTGCTCTGAATGTTTTCATCTGGACACACACAGGTGTTGGAGACCTGCATGGTCACAGTGGGACGCGTCTCAAACATCGACCACAACAAACGGATCATTGGTAAAGCCGGGCGAAACCGCTGGCTCGGCATCCGTCCCTCGAGCGGTTTGTGGCAGAGGAAGGGGGGCTGGGCAGGACGCAAGATCAAACCCCTGCCTCCCATGAAGGTCTACGTCAACCTGCCCTCCATCTCTGCGGGCTAACACACTGGACATTTGCTGGATTTGAGATGGTTGTCTCTTGTTATATTAAATCAGGTTGTTTGTTGGAAGAGAAAGTATGAATAAAGACAAGCTGTTTGTACAGAAGATTACAAATTTTAATAAACACAACTGCTTGTGGGAGCATGGAAAGAAACAAAACAATATAAAAATCCAAAACATATTTACATCTATAGTAAAACATGCAGAGTAATCCATATTTTTTTTTTAAGTGGTAAATTAAAAAATACTGTCATGTCATTTAAAATAGGGTTTGTGCAATGACACTGGGTGGCATTTCAAGTAACAGGAGCAATGAGATGGCATTTCAACAAACACTGATGTTCATTTGTTGCTGTGCTAAAGGATGCCTGCTCATTGATCCAGTCTTTTAAAACACCCCCATGCTACCTCTAGAATTAGGGCGAAAACTCGAGGTCAAATACATTGAAATACACTCGTCGTTATGCCTGTTTAATATTTCAAAGACTAACATGACACATTTCCTCCAACACCTCTGCCCCGGCTAACACTTCAGTCTGATGTTTCATACTGTAAGGGCCAGTTGGTGTCCCGACTCAAAGAAGATTAGTGAAGCCTTCAGAAAGCAGGAGACAGGGAAACTTGACTGATTAGTCCCAGGCAGACGCGCATGGTGGTAGCTGCTAAATAAGCGTTTCAACATCAAGTGGCAAAGTAACAGACGGCCAGAAAGGGTTATCAAGACCTCGTAGGACCCTTAAACCCATAACATAAACACAACATCCCTATGAAAAAGGTTCATTTTGAAAACAAAAACTGCCTTCTCTTGACTAAAGGTAGTGGTTTTACAATTCAAATATAACACTTCACCTCAAAAACAAAGTGTGTCCCAATTTGAGCTAAAATATGTAGAAAACCACATGAAAGTGCATTACAAAGTGAGGGAAATGTATGAGAGTAGTAATAGTGTTTGTATTGTACAAGTCAACTTCATAGTTATGAGTTCTGGAAATATATATTTGGCATTTATGTCAAGAGATAAAGGTAAGCTATTTGTGCTTTTCAATTTAGTGGATAGTAGGGGGGAATTCACAATACATCTTGTATATATTTATATACATTACTAAGAAAAGCCAGCCAATCGAAGTCTTCACTTTATAAAAAAAAGCAACAACTACCTCATACAGAAGGCCCTTTGTCCAAAGGTTTCCTATTGCAAAAGTTTCACGTAACACTATTCAGGGAGTACCATCGAAACACATAGCACACCAACACAGACACACAGGCAGTGACTCGGACGTCTGGCAAGGCTCCATACACCTTTCATCAGATTTAAAGTAATTCAATACTTGCATTGCGCTCGACACCCCTGTTATTTTACCCATACCTGTCCAACCTATCAGTATGTTTGAGACGCTATAATAAAGGACACCGCGGTAATTGCTTGGTTAGGATGTGCACACGCTTTGCAAATGCTTAATGGGGCTAAATGTGGAGTACTAACTGGTTTATTATCTCAGTAATCTAAATACTGATCTCCACAGGGACCATGAATACATTTAATGTACTATTTTAGTTTCATACTGTGAAGTTTGGACTAACCAAGAGCTCTGGTGGTCCCACTGTAAAACAAACTCGACTTTGGCACATCACTGCACGTCTGGAGAGATTTGCTAAGTATCCGCAGGTCTGTGAGACGTCCACTCAGGTAAGCCGAAACATCAAGTTGAACACAAAGGGGGAACGGAAAAACAATCCCTTAAAACAATACGACAGTTCATACAGTCACAACTAAATTTGGCATTCAGCTGTTGATAGTTGAAATATGTACTGCTGCGTTATGTGACCCTGCTTCTAAGTGGGTGTGACAGTCTGGATGTTAGTGTTTGCTTACACATTCTTACAAATGCTCTGTAGCTACATTCATTATAGCTACCTTCAAAAAAATTCCTTGTTTTTTTTTGGTACACAGTGTGCCCTAAGAGCAACGAGGCAAAACAGATCTTTCTGTTCCTTTCTACAAAAGTAGTGAGAAAGTAAAGGGACGAGTAAGAAAACGGAGTTTCGAAGAGAAGGATTCCATCTAGATTCACAGCAATATTCCAACTTTCAACAACAAACACAAACACGGCCTCAAACGATCTCACGCACGCCACTGCACGTCACCGTCACACTCCTCCATTGCGTATAGAGTAACAATAAATGTAGGATTTCACAGAAATAATAAAATGTTAACAAAAACAAAGTGCAAACACAGCTGCCATTATCGAAATGTGGCAAATTGTCATAAAACCTCAAAATACCTCCGAGGCGGTAGCACAAATCTTACAAAATAGTACTTGTTCTTTTCGTAGTGTGTAAAAAACAACAACAACACCCAAACAACGTCAACATCAAAAACATCCAATTGACAACATGAAGGTTGTGTATTAAACACGTGGTTGTGAGACAGTAAGATTTCCACAGGAAAACTATTACTGCCGGCCCGTCGGCCTTTCCTCTGATTCTCTGCATCCTCTCAGGGAGACAAGTGCAGCGGAGAGTCTGGTGGAGTGGGGGGGCGGCCGGGGTCACACAGGCTTAGTGTACCCGAAGATCCCCACCGGGAAGTGCTTTACGTGGGTCGGCCACTGGGCAGCGAGCTGGAAAAACTTCACGTCGTTCCACTCCACTCCATCGATAGTGACTGAGGACGAGGAAGCAAGGATTAATGCACGAAGAAGATAACACGTTCAATATTTCAGGATGGACGCTCTGGAATTTGAATGTCAAAGTGCAGATGAGTCTGTACGGGTTATAAGAATTTCTTCTGTTGAGGTTTTCAAGTGGTCTGATTTTATGACATCACAGAGACATTTTTTAAATCCTCAATTTGAATACACTGATTAATGGGATTAATTGAGTTATATTCTTCCTAATTAATATACCTAATCAGTCCCATTAACATAGATACATTTATGACATGTTGAAAGAGCACAGAATGAAACGCAGATACATATTGTTTGCAGTGGCGGTTCTACGGGGTGGCACGGGGTGGCAGCTGCCACCTCAGAAAAATGCCTTGCCACCCTAGTTGCCACCCCAGTTGGCAGCTTTGTTTTGAAAGAAAAGTTGTGGCTCATCGGACATTTATGAGAGAAAATCTCTAATGTCTGAGTGCAAGTGAATGCAGCACAAGACGCGAGCCTTGTAACCCCTCCCCCGGCCCTGGCGCGAGCGTGGAAATGTGATTGGTGGCGATTTCATTTGAACGGGCGGTGCAAAACGAGAAGCATTCGGATCCAAGTAGACGGAAGGAATTAAGTATTTGCGGTCTACAATGACAGAGAAGAGACTGTCAAGTTTGGCTGTACTCAGCATTGAATCAAAACGCACTAAAGCTTTAAATCTTAATAAGTTTGTGAGGCGTTTCGCTGAACAAAATGGTAATCGCCGCATTCAGCTGTTATAGGCATGCCAACTTGATGCTCTGCTCACGGATGACTCGATGAGCATAACAAACTGTTAAGATACCTTACGTGTGTATACAATTTTTCTTCAAGAAAAATGTCCTGAGAAAGTCAAATAAGACGGTGTGTGAAACTTCACTGCCCAGCCAAAAAAGAGTAACCACTTTGATTTAACTAGGCCAGTAGGTAAGGACTTTCCACTGGATAATAACTGCAGCGATGTATGTTTTAGCTGAATACACGTTATTTAACCCTAACTGATGCAGTTAGTCACTTCTTTAATGTTTGTTCTTTCTGATGTAAAGTCAAGGTTGTAACTGTTTGCAATAAAGTTGTGGGGCGCTGAACTGTTCCTTTGATTCTTTTGATATATGATAGTAATTACTTGTCTTTCAAATTTGAAGGAGGGTGAGCAAGCATCTTGAGGAACATTCATCATTAACTCCTCCAAAAATATAGTTTATTCAATAATAAATGAATATGTGAATCATAACAGTGATTGACAGCTGATAGGAATAATATGATTGTTAATAGTATCATATTCATACAGACAAACATCGATGAGACAGTTAATTAATATACTTATTGCAGCAGCCTGCATAGATTTGGTACCCCTGCTGGTCTAAGAGTGAAACAAACTCATTCAGTTATTGTTCAGTTAAAATTCATTAAATGATGTCTGCCACCTTATATATTTATATTTAAGGCTTTACTGATGTGCCACAAAAATGTCACCTATGTTATTGAGTTAAAATATTAATATTGTGGCTTTCCAAGTAGGGTTGGGAACCGAAACTCGGTTCCAGATGAGAACCGATAAGAAAATGCCGGGTACTCTTAACGGTTCCTAAACGCGGTAGACCCTGTATTCCACCGGGTCCGTCTGCGCCGCGGCGACCCGGTGGAATACAGGGGCGGACTGGCCATCTGTGTGTTCTGGAGAATCACAGAACGGCCGGTCGTCAGCGGGCCGTTGACGGCCGACTCGGTACGCTGACGGCCGGCACCACCCTTATTGTTTTTTTAAACGGCATCATGTAAGTTGCGCTGACAGGCGACAGAGGGTCAGTTTCCCCGCAGCGAGGCTCCCCCCGCCCGTAGACAGTTCACGAGCTCAGTCACTTCATAACACCAAAGATGGATCGCGGTAAACGCTCTAAAGTGTGGCTCCACTACACTAAAAAAGAAAAAGACAAGGCACAGTGTAACGCCTGTTAATAGCTTGCCACAGGCATAGCTCAGTTAAAATAAAGCACAGCTATTGTGCAATACATTTGTATTGCATGTATATTTTTTATTTGTAAAAATGTCAGTTAAAGCTTAAAAGAATAAAGATATTTTTGTTATCTAAACGTTTGACCTCTTTCTTTTACAATTTTGGAATCTAAACGGAGAATCGATAAGAACCGGAATCGATACATTTAAAACGATACCCATCCCTATTTCCAAGTTAACATTGATTGATATGACTGCGATTAAATCAGCATACAATTCTGCCAGGGGATGCCACCCCTCAAATTCTCCTGCCACCCTCTTGCCACCCCATGAATGTTTTTCTAGACCCGCCCCCGATTGTTTGTAACAAAGTCATTTACTATAATAGCGTTAGAGCAGAGAATGTTGTTTTTGAAAAAATATGGATTAAAGCAGAATATTTAAATATACAAGATAT